CCTTCCGCCACCAGCCAACCACAAGCAGCCGACCTGACCGCGCAGCAGCCGAAATTAAACTGACTGGGTGACAATGTGACTGGGTGACGAGCAGGAATGACGAGGTGATTATATAGTATTGTCACGCCGATGCAGATTGAGACAGAGTGATGATGTCGGTAACGATGTCATCACTCAGTAGATTAGTGTTGAATTTGCATCGGATTCCTATATAATTGATGTTGTGCTGTGAAAATGCTGCTATTAGTAGACGGAGCTCGACGTAATGAGCTCCGCTTACTGGCGCTTTATTAGCGTCAAACATTGGCATAGTACACACGGTAGTTTAACGCGCTATGGTAATGAGCGCACAACAGCGAAGCGAAACAGACATGGACAAGGCGGTGAGATGTGGTAACTGCGTTTCAGTCGCCACTTTTTACACGTGTCAGGGATTTATTGAGTGATTTCAGATCTCCGACAGTGTGCGTGTCAGACCAGAGAGATATACAATCATACCTGTACCGAATCCATTTGTTGTGCCTGGCGGAAGGTATCCTAATTTGCTAGCGAAAGTTACACGTAATCAATCTAATTTTGCTGCAGATTCCGCGAAATCTATTACTGGGACAGCTTTTTCATCATCAAAGGACTTCTAGCTTCGCATATGTATGTAACAGTACGCGGAATGATCGAAAACATGCAATATCTCATTGAAGAGTACGTTTTGAGTTCATCTCTCTTGCTGAGCTGACTCACGCTTCGAGAGCTAATCCTCTATGCAAATACCAATTTTTCAGATTTGGTTTTGTTCCTAATGGCAATCGTATCTACTATCTGAATCGCTCTCAACCTCCACTACTTACCTGGTGCGTCCATGCTTACTACATGGCTACGAATGATCTGGAATTCGTAACGAAGCTTCTCCCAACTCTGCGCAAAGAGGTTGGTGTAAAAACGTTCGAACTGGATATTCTTTACCCCCATTTGAATGCCACACCGATCTAAAACGAAGTTGTTGTTCAGATGGCATTCTTCCAAGCAAATAGGTCGGTAATTATGGAAGGTTGGCCCGGTCCACTTTACCG